GAGAGCAGTTGACCTCTAGGATGTTGCTGAGTATGACACAAATCCTCTCTCTTGCTTTCAAATGCAACCTTGAACCATATAAGGTATCACACAAAAGAAGTGCTAAAGAAATACAAGGCACTTATTAGTGTTCATTATGCAATATCTAAAGAAATTTTCACAAGGATTATGACTTATGAAACAGAAAAGTAAGCCTAGGATAGGCTTAAGAAAGGAGTTTCCAAGGTGATACAAAGGTAAAGCAAATTTAAGTGATTAATCTTAAAAGAGAATTTAAGGTTATCAAGATGAAAGATACAAAATTGGTAAAAAGGTTTTTTTTTGATACTGTGATAAAAATTGCAAATTAGATTACAGAATATTTGGTAAAAACTTATAGAGAAAAATATTGTAGATAAGATTCTTATGAATTTATTAGAGAAATTTAAGAATAAAATTTCTTCTCTAAAAGACTCCAAGGACATGATACATATTATACTCTCAAAACTTGTGAATGCTTTTAAAGCTATTGAACAAAGGAAAGCAATAAGGCATGAAGCTTTTGTTGAAGATGCTTTAGTTGCAAATGGATAAGGAGAGGGTTAGTTGAAAAAGGGTAGTGAAAAGAAGCAATTTTTTGATAGAAGAGGAAAGGGGAAGAGAGATTTTTACAATGACCAACAAAGCAACAATTATAAAAGCAAGGAAGCCATATCCTCCGTGTCCTCACTGTGGAAAGAGGATTCATACGGCAAGTTATTATTAGGTTAGGCTGAGTGTCAAATGCAAATCTTGTAAGCAATTCGACCATTTTGAAAAGTTTTGCAAAGCTAAGGCAAATCAACATCAAAAGATTCAAGTTGTTAGAATGTGGATCATGTAGTGAAGGTTTGCCATACAGCCGATACAATAATTAAATTTTGCTCCTTTGAATTCCAATATTGTTGCTGCTTCGACTCCAATCCTTCAAGAGAAAATAAAAAAAACGAAGATGAAACAAATGAAGAAAATGTAACCTCTTCGTGATACCCCATATATATAGGCATCTCCATGAACACATAATAGAGTCTGATTGATAAAATTATAACTTGGCTTCCTTCTTCTTTTAAGTTGCGAGCTTACAAATTGAGCTGGATTAATAATTGGAGACTACTTGTGTACTATCTCAATCTAACATAGG